TGCGAAATGGGTTGCAAATTATATTTTCCAAGTGACTTTTATCTGATGGCGGGAGATTTTTGGGTAAACTCAATTGGAGAAACAACTTGCAAGAAATTTTACCTACGGGAGAGTTAAAAGCGAAGTTTTAAGGATTTGAGCAATCTGTATACATACAGAAACACAGTTTTTAGCTACAGTTAGGTGGTACTGTTGTTTTTCAGAGTAAAAGATAAGGAACTTTTTTGAACAGTTTCAAAGGCTCAGCTAAACTGAACAAACCATCACATATAATGCCCAATATGGAATGTGGAAAAATGAGACAATGAGGGCCCGTTGTTCAGATGTCTCTGTCTACATTCTATTTGCTTCTCTAAACGTGAAATGCAAACAAAATGAGTTCGCTTTTTTTCGCCTATTGCGGTCGGTTCGGTGCAGGCGGTCACACAAATTGAGAATTGTGCGATGGAAAAAAGAGTTGAACAGATAAAGAGAGTTTAGGTGAACAGACGAAAAATCTCTTCCTATCATTTTTTTTTCCCAACAGAAACTCATGTATGCACAAAAAGAGAAAAAGGGAAGTTTTATTTATAATGTATAAGGTGTGAAAATGTCTGGAAACACCAGAAAGAGTTTGAAAATTGAAGCAGAAAAAAAACGAGGTCAGGAAGAAGACACAAAAGAAGTGTAATAATATTGATGAGTGTTTGATTGGATATCTGATCAAAATAGTTCATGTACGTGTCATCAATCATTTTCCGAGAATAGTGAGGATATGATATACTAGACGATGGTGATACTGGTGCTAAATTTCATGGATATTTGGATAGGCATATTCAAAATCTGAAAATTAAAAATTCTAATAAAGCATTAACCTTTTCTAATCCATCCAAAAGACCTAAAAGCTATTTTTTAGATTTCGGCGAGTCAAAAAACTCAACAATCAGGTTTCTGGGTCCAAATTTGAAGAACCGTCAAACTGTTTGTGTTAACAATTATGCTACTACTGAATTGCAAACAAAACTAAAATCGACTTAATTTCAGAAACACGAAGGATTCAAACTATAAAATTGTGAAGTTGAGAATTTCCTTTAAAATGTTTCAACATGTTCCTTTTCCTTTCCCTCCTTTCTATTTTTTTCTTGCAAAGCAGCTCTCTCCTTATTCTTTGTTTCTCTGGCGCCTCCACATGTCGGCACTCTCTCTGCTCAGGGCCTTTTTTTTATACGGAAACTGCCCCTTTCTCTCTCACCGATCTCGTGGTGTAGTGGTTATCACATCTGTCTAACACACAGAAGGCCGGCGGTTCGAGCCCGCCCGAGATCAGATGTTTTTTATACTTATTAACGGACTTGAGTAACGTTACTCGCATCATTGACTTTCTTTTCGAAATCCAAAACGATGGATTAGTAAAAAACGGAAAAACCTTATAACGATATTTCAACTTGACCATTTAAAGCTGTCAGATTCTATTTCTGAAAATAATCGACTGTAAAACGAATGGCAACTGTCTCTTTAAATGGAATTTTCCTATTTAGTTGCCTGGTGCATCTACCCTCCAACTCCTTCTAAAGGTTCCCTCTAACCACGCAACGACACTCCGCTATCCCGCTCGGCGCGCGCACAGTTTAAATTTAGTTTTGAGTGATTGCGAGCTTGGATTTAGCTCGTAGTTTTTGAGAGACTCTTTTAAGGATTTCAAGTGAGTTTGCTTGAAGTCTAAGCTTTTATTTGGTGTTTCTTTCTAAATTGTTCATAATAAACCGATTTTGTTACATTTCTTGTTGATTTTCTTCTATTTTATCACAGGAACCTGATACCCCGGACATACCGCGGGCAATTTGGGGGCCGAACCGTTTTGTTTATCCGTTTATCCGTTCTTTTACTCTTTTTTCGTTGTTTTTGCATCAATTCTCCCCAGAGTTTGAAGGAACCAGTGAGAGGATTGTTGTGAAAATTAATAAAGACCCTTTTTCGTTGTTTTTGCATCAATTCTCCCCAGAGTTTGAAGGAACCAGTGAGAGGAGTGTTGTGAAAATTAATAAAGAGCCTTTTTCGTTGTTTTGCATCAATTCTCCCCAGAGTTTGAAGGAACCAGTGAGAGGATTGTTGTGAAAATTAATAAAGACCCTTTTTCGTTGTTTTGCATCAATTCTCCCCAGAGTTTGAAGGAACCAGTGAGAGGATTGTTGTGAAAATTAATAAAGACCCTTTTTCGTTGTTTTTGCATCAATTCTCCCCAGAGTTTGAAGGAACCAGTGAGAGGAGTGTTGTGAAAATTAATAAAGAGCCTTTTTCGTTGTTTTGCATCAATTCTCCCCAGAGTTTGAAGGAACCAGTGAGAGGATTGTTGTGAAAATTAATAAAGACCCTTTTTCGTTGTTTTGCATCAATTCTCCCCAGAGTTTGAAGGAACCAGTGAGAGGATTGTTGTGAAAATTAATAAAGACCCTTTTTCGTTGTTTTTGCATCAATTCTCCCCAGAGTTTGAAGGAACCAGTGAGAGGATTGTTGTGAAAATTAATAAAGACCCTTTTTCGTTGTTTTTGCATCAATTCTCCCCAGAGTTTGAAGGAACCAGTGAGAGGATTGTTGTGAAAATTAATAAAGACCCTTTTTCGTTGTTTTTGCATCAATTCTCCCCAGAGTTTGAAGAAACCAGTGAGAGGATTGTTGTGAAAATTAATAAAGACCCTTTTTCGTTGTTTTGCATCAATTCTCCCCAGAGTTTGAAGGAACCAGTGAGAGGAGTGTTGTGAAAATTAATAAAGAGCCTTTTTCGTTGTTTTTGCATCAATTCTCCCCAGAGTTTGAAGGAACCAGTGAGAGGATTGTTGTGAAAATTAATAAAGACCCTTTTTCGTTGTTTTTGCATCAATTCTCCCCAGAGTTTGAAGAAACCAGTGAGAGGATTGTTGTGAAAATTAATAAAGACCCTTTTTCGTTGTTTTGCATCAATTCTCCCCAGAGTTTGAAGGAACCAGTGAGAGGAGTGTTGTGAAAATTAATAAAGACCCTTTTTCGTTGTTTTGCATCAATTCTCCCCAGAGTTTGAAGGAACCAGTGAGAGGATTGTTGTGAAAATTAATAAAGAGCCTTTTTCGTTGTTTTTGCATCAATTCTCCCCAGAGTTTGAAGGAACCAGTGAGAGGATTGTTGTGAAAATTAATAAAGACCCTTTTTCGTTGTTTTTGCATCAATTCTCCCCAGAGTTTGAAGGAACCAGTGAGAGGATTGTTGTGAAAATTAATAAAGACCCTTTTTCGTTGTTTTTGCATCAATTCTCCCCAGAGTTTGAAGGAACCAGTGAGAGGATTGTTGTGAAAATTAATAAAGACCCTTTTTCGTTGTTTTTGCATCAATTCTCCCCAGAGTTTGAAGGAACCAGTGAGAGGATTGTTGTGAAAATTAATAAAGACCCTTTTTCGTTGTTTTGCATCAATTCTCCCCAGAGTTTGAAGGAACCAGTGAGAGGAGTGTTGTGAAAATTAATAAAGAGCCT